GGCTTCGGGGGAGGTCAAGATACTAAAAATATTGATTAAGGGTGAAAAAGTGACAAAATTCTCAAAATACCCGGGAAGGCTCGCATGGCTCTTATTTATAGGGTGAGAGGCTCGGATCCGAGGGTTGAGAAGGCTGCACGCGGCAGCAGATGCGAGGCCCAGGTGGCTCGGCTCGCAAGCAGGCACGCGTCGGACAGTGAGACCTCGGTTCCGACAGATGGCGAGGCGGGGCTTCGGCTCGGATAGCTAGAGGCTTCTTAGTGGACCGAACTTCGGTCCAATGGGGAAAGAGGGTGACGACTTTGTACCAATCAGCAGGTGCCACGCGAGGCTGCGGTCCAATCAGAAGACGCCACGTGGAGGCTGCATGCGAAGGATGACGTGGCAGCACTATTCATGCGAAATTTCTCGAAAAATGTGCCCAATCTTGTAAAATCCATAACCTTCTCATACGGGCTCCGTTTTTGACGTTCTTTATGTGCACGCGTAGAGAAAATTATGCTCTACAACTTTCGTTTAGACTTCGTCGGAAAATTTTGAATTTATTTTTTATATTGTTATTTTAACAGACCAGGACTGGTAATCCGTTAAAACTTCATAACTTCTTCATCCGACGTCCGTTTTCGTCAGACTTTTTACCGTTGTACTGCTAATGACGAGACCTTCGATTCTCGTTTAGGTTGTGTCGGCTAAAAATCACTCGATCTAAAATTCGAGTTTTTAGCTGTCTACTGCTAAGCTGAAACTTAGAAAAATCATAACTTCCTCATACCAAGTCAGATTTTGGCGTTCTTTTTATCAAAATTCTCGGTTTAACGAATACTACGACTTTTATTTAGATCACTAAGTCTAAAAAGTTGTTTATAAAAAAACTCACTTTTTACGTCATTCGGCACCTTGCCGGGTTTTATCGCGGATCTTCGATTGGTCATAACTTCTTCGTTATAACTCAGATTTCGACGAGGTTTTCGCCTACATGTTTCTAAAGAGATTATCTACAACTTTCAATAATAAAATTGTACTTATTTCAAATTTTATATTTTCGCTAAATTTCAATATTTAGCTTTTAATTGGAATTTCATAAGACTTCCAATAATTTATGAGTGATTCTAAACATAGTTTACCTTATTTCTAGTAAAAACTATCTGTTAGAACTCAACACTCAATTTCACATAATATTTCATAACATTATTAACTTTTCAAATTACATAACACGATTTTAAAACGTGTATGTTACATTTACTTGGTACTGTTAAACCTTCATCATTTTCTTGCATATCTTGTGAACTTGGTAAACATCATGCCTTACCTTTTAATGCAAATGAATTTATTTCTTCTCAATCTTTTGATCTAATTCACTCTGATGTCTGGGTACCAACACCTCATTCCACGATGGGGGTGCACGGTATTTTGTTATATTTGTTGATGATTGTACTCGCTTTACTTGGATTTATTTGATGGAACACAGATCTAAACTACCAAACATTTATATCAACTTTGCAAAAATGGTTCAAACTCAGTTCTCCAAATCTATCAAAGTCTTTCGTGGTGACAATGTCATGGAATACAAAGAGTCTTCTCTTCTTTCTTTCTTGCATCAACATGGTACTGCTTCTCAATACTCGTGCCCGGGAACGTCCCAACAAAAATGGGCGTGCCGAAAGAAAACATCGTCACATTCTAGACACAGTTAGAACTCTTTTGGTCTCTTCACAGGTTCCCGAACGATTTTGGGGTGAAGCAACTTTCACAACGGTTTACACCATTAATCGACATCCTACTCCTATTCTTCAAAACAAATCCCCTTATGAACTTCTCCATGGTGTATCCCATGCTTACAATCTTCTTCGGGTGTGGGGTTGTGCTTGCTTTGTTCAGCTACAACCTCGTGAACGATCAAAACTTGAACGTCGTTCTCGATTGTGTTGCTTCCTTGGGTATGGAATTGAACACAAAGGGTATCGATGTTGGGATCCTATCTCTAAACACCTACGTATCTCTCGTCATATCACCTTTTGGGAACATAAGACTTTCACATCGCTCTCCAAGTTTCAAATTGATTCTCCTTCAGAGTCTCTCTTTTTCACCTATCCATCAGTCTCTCTTGACTCATATAACTCAGACTCCACTGAACCTGACTCTTTGACTTCAGAATCATCTGCTTCGACTATAGGAGGTCAAACAGAACAATCGCCTATTCCTGAGATGTCTCCTCAACCCTCGGATCCACCACCTCCACCAAGACGTTCCGAAAGCGTAAGAAACATTCCTTCCCATCTTCGTGATTTTGAATGTTATTCAACTATTATGTCTCATCACGAACCTACCTCCTATAAGGAAGCTGCCTCTAACCCTTTGTGGCAGAACGCTATGCAAGATGAACTTAAAGCCTTACAAAAGGCCCAAACCTGGGAATTTGTTTCGCTTCCTCCAGGAAAGTATCTTATAGGCTCTAAATGGGTTTACAAAGTAAAGACTCGTTCCGATGGCAACGTTGACAGGTACAAAGCACGCCTTGTTGCCAAAGGATTCCATCAAGAATATGGAATTGACTACGAAGAGACTTTTGCTCCAGTTGCTCGTATAACATCAGTTCGTAGTTTACTTGCCATTGCAGCAGCCCATCGTTGGTCTATGTATCAAATGGATGTTAAAAATACCTTCCTCAATGGGGATCTCGCTGAGGAAGTCTATATGAGTCCCCCAAATGGTGTTGATCATCCATCCGGCCATGTTTGTCGTCTCCGAAAAGCTTTATACGGTTTGAAACAAGCACTTCGTGCTTGGTTTGAAAAGTTTAGCACCACCATTACCTCTCTTGGATTTTCCTCTAGTCCATATGATTCAGGGTTGTTCACTCGAACAACAGATACCGGTACCATCCTTCTCCTATTGTATGTTGATGATATGATTATTACTGGCAGTGATAGTGCAGGCATTGTGAATCTCAAACAATCTCTCATCTCTTGTTTTGAAATGAAGGATCTCGGTAATCTTCATTAGTTTCTTGGTCTTGAAGTCTTAACAGATGATTCTGGAGTATATTTATGCCAAGCTAAGTACATCTCAGATCTTTTATCCCGATCAGGAATTACCGACGCCAAGGTCGCCTCAACGCCCCTTAAACCCAACTCCCCTTGGTTCCTAGAAGTGGTACTCCTCTCTGTGATCCTACCGTCTACCAATAGTTGGTTAGCTCATTGGTTTATCTCACTTTTACGCGTCCCGATCTAACATATGCAGTTCATATTGTTAGTCAATTTATGGCTGCCCCCTACTCTGATCACTATGCAGCTGTTCTTCGGATTCTTCGGTGCCTAAAAGGTACCATGTTTCATGGGCTCCATTTCTCCTCCAAGCCCTCTCTGATCCTAAGAGCTTTTTCAGATGTTGATTGGGATGGTGACTTGACTGACAGACGGTCCACTACTGGTTATTGTTTTTTTCTCGGAGATTCTCTTATATCCTGGCGTAGTAAGAAACAGTCTCTCAACGCACGATCCAATACTGAAGCTGAATATCGAGCACTTGCCGATACAACACAGGAACTACTATGGCTTCGTTGGTTATTGGCAGATATGGGTGCTCCTCAGACTCTTCCCACTTCATTGTGGTGTGATAACAAAAGTGCCATTCAGATTGCTCATAATGATGTTTTTCATGAACGTACAAAACATATTGAGATTGACTGTCATTTTGTTCGCCAACATGTTTGCAAGACCATTAAACCTATATCAATCTCTTCAACCGATCAACCTGCCGACATTTTTACTAAAGCTCATTTACCTAGTCGCTTTCAGTATCTTGTTTCCAAACTCAAGTTGGATCATACTTTCCATACTTGAGTTTGAGAGGGGGTATTAACGTATATTCTCCCGGATTATTAGCCCTAATTGTTAGGGGTTATAATTGTATATTACCATCATTAGTAGGTATTTCTGTAATTAGATTATTATACTAGGTTTATATATTCTTGTATTTTGTATGCTTAATGATATTCATTATACACACAATCGACGGCTTCTTTGCCTCCAACTGCTCTTCACTGTAATTTACGTTTGATCAATGGATTTGATTCACAAATCCTAACAGACACCCTTGACTACAATGTACCCTCGTCGCTAAGTACATTAAGAAGAATTAATAATATAACACGCTTCAATGGACCGGGGGTCTTTAAGTACACCTAGGAAGAATTAAAAATGTAACACATTTTTAATGGATTCGAGATAAGCAACCACCTTGAAGAAGAAAGCCTAAGAGAAAGTGATAAGACAGTTATAAGATGTCATATAATTATCTTAAAAGCCTTTTAATCTTAGTTAGATGAAAAGTATATTTCACTTCAAATAATGAGTTTACTTTCGAACATATAAAAACAATAATTAGTAAGACAAAAACGATAACCACAATTTAACGTTTTCATTAATAATGATTATCTTAGGGCATCTCCAACCCACGCCCAAAATCTATTTTTCACCCTCTTTCTTCCCCATTCTTCTCCAATCCTACCCGATTTTCACCTCTATTTTTGGAGATATGAATAGTATTCCCCCATATATGGGGGATACTATTCATATCTCCAAAAATAGAGGTGAAGTTTGGTTGTCAATTTTAGTCCCTTTAATTTTTATTTTATATTTTTCTAGTTTATTTTATTTACTATTTATAATTTAAATGCAATATTTAATATTTATAATATCATGTTATATACTGATTTATATTAATTAATCCTAAATATAGAGTTTAATCAGTAGAATGTTGTATTTGACAATATATATAAGTTATAAAAATTGAATATTCTAGAAATATACTTTTTAGAGTAAAAAATAAAGTAGAAAATGAAGTATGGTCGGAGATGAAACACTCTTTACTCCATTTTTTACCCAAAAAATGAAGATGGGTCTGGAGATGTTCCGCTTCCGCTTCTTTATTTCTATTTTCCCACTTTAGCAAGTGGGCATATGAAAGATTAGTTATTCTCTCAAAATTTTCTTCGGATGGATTCATCATCAAATCAGATCGTTAAAGAAATTCCCGGGGTCATTCGAGTATACAAAGATGGCCGGTTCCAGAAACTCGCCGGCACAGACGTCCTTCCCGCCGGTATTGATCCTTCCTCCGGCGTCCAATCCAAAGATGTCATCATCTCACCTGAAACCAACCTCTCCGCCAGGCTTTACCTTCCCAAAACCCCCACCAAAAAACTCCCCCTTTTAATCTACATCCACGGCGGTGGATTCATCATCGACACCGCCGCCTCTCCACACTATCATGACTTCCTGAACCTCATCGCAGCCGAATCCAACGTAGTCATAGTCTCCGTTGACTATCGAACAGCGCCGGAGTACCCCGTCCCCGCCTGCTTCAACGATTCCTGGGAAGCAATCAAGTGGGTCGTCGGAAACTGCCCCGAGCCATGGCTCAACGACTACGCCGATCGTGAAAACTTATTCTTTTCCGGCGACAGCGCCGGTGCCAACATTGCCCACCACATGGCTATTCGGGTCGGGTTAGAGAATCCAAGTTTGAGTATAAACCTACGTGGCATCATCCTGCTCCACCCGTATTTTTGGGGAAACGATCGAATCGGGTCTGAAGGAGAAGACCCGCGGAAGACATTATTAGACGATATGTGGATCTTTGCCCACCCGGGAACAAGTGGGTTAGATGACCCGCTGATTAACCCTGCTAAGGATCCGAATTTGTCGGATCTTGGGTGCTCCAGGGTACTGGTTTGTGTTGCTGAGAAAGATATTGGGAAGAATAGGGGATGGTATTATAAGGATAATTTGGATAAAAATGGGTGGAATGGAGATATTGAGGTTATCGAGGATAAAGGAGAGGATCATGTATTTTTCCTATTTAACCCTTCTGCTAATAATGCTAGCACTTTGCGCAATAGAATTTGTACTTTCATTAACCACATGGACTGTTAGCCTCAATCGAGCAACTGCAAATCTCCCACAATATTGTACGTAATAGAATAGAATAATATGATATTGTTTGGTTTTCGGTTTTGGTTTTTTACATACTTTGGAGGGTTATTGTATTTGTAGCTATTATGAATTAAATTACTCTTTCATAGAAAATGGATAGAAATTTAAACAAAAAAGGATAGAAATTTTGAACAAAAAAACAGACTACAACTCTTGATTGATTCCCTTTGGAGAGGTTAAGCCGATGTTTATGCGAACGGATTGAATATACAAAACAATTTAAAAAAATTAACACAATGTAGGGATAATGAAAATGAAGCACATTCAATTTTATGTTTTGTATTAACTTGGTGATTATTTTTTTATTTATTTACTTTTTGCATCACTTTTCTATTATTTTATCCATTTCTTCTTCCATTCTTTTCCAACCCTACCCCATTTATTCCTTAATTTTGAGGGAAATGAATAATATAACATCATATTATATTTGGTGTTATAAATAGGATGAACTTTGAGTTGTCGATTTTAGTCCATCTTTTTATATATTTATACATTTTTGGGTTTTTTATCTATTATTTATAAATTAAATGTAATATTTAATATTATAATATTGTATTATATATTAAATTATATTAATTAATTATAAATATAAAATTGGCTTTTTGTTTATCAAATTCTTATTAAAATTTAAATACATATTGAAAATTTAAAACACGATAACGTATTTTACAAAAGCTTATAATTAAGTGTTATAAATATAATCTTATTTATTTAATATTATTGTAATGAAAAAAATATAGATTATATATTTGTTAAAACCAAATTAATAGAAGGGGTGTGTTTGACAATTTATATAAGTTAGGAGAATGAAATATATTTTTTGGGGATAAAAATAGGGTAAAAAATGAAGTAAGGTTAGAGATGAAACACTATTTATCCAATTTTTTACTTCATTTTTTGGAAAAAAAATGGAAGTGGATTGGAGATGGTCTTAGGTGATGTTTGTTTTTTATGAGACAAAATGTATGAAGTCTGCGGACCACATCTCTAGACCTCTGCAGTCTGGAAAAAGATGTTTGTTTGTTTTTTTAACATCTGTGTGCTACTAAAATAAACTAAAATCTAAATAAACTGCTTCAAAGTGATTTTTTAATATTTTTATAACTTTGTTATAAATAATTAATAAATCTAGATCAACTTTTATGTATTATTGTATAAAAAGTGAAAACAAAAATGGTACGAATTAACGTATATATTTGATAAAAACCAACAATTTTAGTTGCCAAGTTATACCTAAACATTGTAATTAGGAATCAAAAAATGTTTTAACAAATCTAGATCAACTTTGATTTTTTCAATTAAATCAATTAAAAACGTACCATAAATATTTTCCCAAGAAATTGACGACACTGTATTAAATAATGGTGTACAAAATTTAGCACAAAAAATATAAGAATATATTATGATTTTTTTTATATTTATATAAACAACTTCAACGACCATTATTGTAATAAATCTTTATTTATAAATTTGTCAAAAACATCATGTTTGTGTTGTTAAACTTTTTTTTAAGCATTGTAACTTTTTTTTCAAATTTTTTATCATTAATAAAGTTGGAATAAATATAAATTAAAAAGAACTTAAAAAAATAAAGATATATATGTTTTTTAGGCTAGAAAATGTCTAAAGATGTTAGAAGACTTTTGTCCACATCTGCACCAAGAAGAGAGCTCAGACATTTTTAGGCCTGCGATCTTCAAAAAAACAAACAGTCTGCGAAAGCTAATGTCTGTGTGTGGTCTGCGTGGTGCAGACAGAAGATGCCAGAAAGATCTGTAAACAAAAAACAAACATCTTAATGTAAAGCATCTTCAACGTGTATTTTTTAAAACTTTTTATTATTTGAAAACACTTTTGAAATTTCTTTTAGGGAAAATGACTTGCGAGGTTAATTACTTTTTCGTATTGTTCACGTTTAGGCAACTTCATTTTTTTTGTACACATTTAACCATTTTACTTGTTAAATGTGTTCACATATTACCATTGTCACCTACAATAACAAGTGATAATTGTAATATATTAACACATTTAACAAGTTAAATGGTCAAATATGTACAAAAAAAGTTGTCTAAATGTGAACTATTTTTTTTACAAATTTCTTAAGACTTTTTATAATTTCTTACAACATTTTTATGATATTTTTTCCTATAGGTTTTTCTAATACAATGTTTTAAACATTTTGCTTTTATATATATATATATATATATATATATATATATATATATATATATATATATATATATATATATATATATATATATGAAAAAAATTGCAAAAATGGTCCTTGTGGTATGCATTTTTTTGGGTTTCAATCCAAACCTCGACTCTTTAGGATTCATAGTCTTTTTGGCCTAGTTTGTACATAGAATTGGTCCCCCGACTTAACTTCCGTTAAGTTGTTGTTGTTAACCCCCTCATGTGCCTCCCACATGAGGGTATATTTGTCTTTTCACTTCTAAGAGACCATTTTTGCACCTAAAAAAATTATATCTCCCTTTTTTTAGAAAAACTTAATACCTATTTATTTATTTTATTAATTAAAAAATAAAAGAGGTCTCTCTCTCTCTCTCTCTCTCTCTCTCTCGTCTTCCTCACTCTATATTCCCTTTTCTTCTTCCCAAACACCATTGTTGAAGAAGCATCACCCAAAATCCTCTGTCGAGCATCAAACAAACAAACATGCCCTTGGATGGTTGTTTACGGCGTGAACAAGAGGAGCTACAACCCTCTCGACGGCTGCAATCGATGTTTAACACCTCTGCAACCCTCCTACAGTCGAAAAAGCACAACCCCAAACACCCCACCTCAATCGTTGTTGCTGCAGCTGCTCTGATTCCCTTCCGAATCGTTGTTATTGATGACGAGAAAGAAACCACGATGAGGCTCGCTGGGGAGCAGCCTCGCCACCTCCTTCGGTTGTTTATCGCATCTTCCCCCCTTTGCACCTTTCCTCACCTAAGTTGTTGTCGCAGCTTACATGTTTCCCTCGGATCTTCCTTCCTTCCTTCTCCCTCGCAGATCAATGCTTAAGCAGCCCTTGCTGCTTCCGATCTTATTCTTCCTTCATCGGTCCGATTGAGCACCTGTGACACTCCCTTTGATCGGCGACTGCAGCTGCCTCCCTCCCATGTGTGTTTTGATGTCGGATCGGGAAAAGGAACATTGAAGGAGGGTTCGCCGGAGATCGAAGCCACCCCTCCTCACGATCGCCAGCCACTGCCGGAGACTCCAATCGCCCGCCTTGCTCGTTTCTTTCCTTACTCGATCTGAAAACCACATTTATTACAAATCTGAAAACCATGGTTGGAGATGGTGGTTGAAAGGTGTAACACCCGTGTTTCTAGGCTAGGCATTAATGATGATGAAATAGTCTAGGTCAACCTTTGTAACTTATTTTGAGGAAATAAAGAGGAATTATGTGTTTATGCTTAATTATTAGGATTTAATTAATTAAGAATAAAAATAAGCATCGAAAATAAATATTAGATAAACCCAATATCTATGAAGGAAGTTGTAGTGGTCGTGACAAGGATTTCGGATATATAAAGAATACCGAAATCCGAGTTATAACGAAGATGTTATGACCTGTCGAAGTTTCGCGACAAAACCGGCACGACGCTGTGTGACGTAAAAAGTGAGTTTTTGATAAAGTACTTTTTATCCTTGGTGATCTAAATTAAAGTCGTAGTGTTCGTTAAACCGAGAGTATGCTTAAAAAGAACGCCCAAATCTGACTTCGTATGAGGAAGTTATGATCTTTCTAAGTTTCAGCTTAGCAGTAGACAGCTAAAAACTCGAATTTTAGATCGAGTGATTTTTTAGCCAACACAACCTAAACGAGAATCGAAGTTCTCGTCAATAGTAGTACAACGGTAAAAAGACTGACGAAAACGGACGTCGGATGAAGAAGTTATGAATTTTTAACGGATTTTCCTATCCCGGTCTGTTAAAAATAATAATATTAAAATTAAATTCAAAACTAGCCGACAGAGTCTAAACTAAAGTTGTAGAGCATAATTTTACCTACGCGTGCATATAAAGAACGTAAAAAACAGAGCCCGTATGCGAAAGTTATGGATTTTAGAAGTTTAGGACACAAAAATCGAGAAAAATGCTAAAACCGAGGAATTTCGCATGGCTCAACTTCGGCCACGTCACCCTCGCTCGCTGCTTGCCTCGTGTCCGAACCGATGACTCATCTGATGCGTGGTCCAGCCGAAATCCGACACGTATCGCATCCGTGTCGTAACCCTCGTACCCGAGGCCTCGGTCCAATCAGAAGCCGCCACCTGCCCTTCCTCGTGTTGACCTGCGAAGCGAGCCACCTGGAGCCTCGCATGCGAGCCACGTGTTCGCTTATCCTCCCCCTCAGTCCGAAGTTTTCCCTATAAAAGGGAGGTGCGAACCCTCCTGGGTATATTTTAGAAAAATGCCCTTTTTCACCCTAAATTCCATATTTCTTTCATTTCAATTTCCCCCAAAGCCCCGGTATTATACCCAACACCCAAAACACGTTCCGGAGTGCCCGAAGAGCCCGAGAAAATTATCTTTTCGGTTTTGAAGCTCCACCCTCGCAGAACCCGGTTTTTCATTAAAGCTCCTTGTTTCATCGAAAACGATCGTTTTAGGAAACGAAGTGCTGCCCGATTATCGTTAAATCAAGTGAGTGTGTAGTCACTTTCATCTTACACATAGATATGAAGTATTTTCTATAAAATACGTGTTATGTTTAATTATATTGTTTGTTTATTTGAGATGAGTGTTGAATAAATGTTTTATACATGTTTTAAATTGTATATGTATTTTTATCTACAAATATGTTGGGTAAAACATGGGTAGATGAAATAGTTGATGTGTGTTAAAAAGATGAGAGGCCTCGATGTTGTTGTTGTTGTTGTCATCTACCGGAGTATAGATGACGACCACGGACCTTTCTAGACAGTCCAGTGGAAAGCTAGCAGGTTTGCAACCTCTAGGTGTTGGTGAACTATATGTTCATTGGTCTACTCCATCCCCCTCATGGTTGCCTTAAGGACATGTATGGCTGAGGAGTCCCTTTAGCAGTAGTGTCCATCCCGATGATAATCATTAGGCTAGGTCCCTTGTGATAGGTGTTTAGGGACGTAAAGTGAGGATAACGGGAATGGGTAATCAGGGTTATTGTTGATTGATGAATTTAATAAATTTATTATTATTTGTGGGTTGAAAACCCTATATGCGTCAGTTCAGAGGTAGCGCTGTTCGCTGGTGGAATACTCTGGGGAAGACTCTATGCCCTAATGAGCCACTGCAACTGACTTGGGCAGAGTTCTTGGTGCAATTCAAGCGCAAGTACTACTCGGCCCAAAATGTGCTTGAGCTGGAAAACCAATTTCTTACACTGAAGAAGGGAAGTATGACCATTGATGAGTACACCAATAAGTTCACAGACAAAATGGAGTTTGCTTTGCGTATTGTCCCAGATGAGCTGATGAAAATAGACAGGTACGCAAAGGGACTTCCATGGGAGTATGTAGTGCCAGTGCGTCAGGCACTTACTTTGGAGGCAGCTATCTGGGCTGCCAAGTCTGTTGAAGATATGATTAAGGGGAGAGCCTCCAGCAAGGTTGAAGTTGGCGAAAAGAGAAATATTGAAGGAACTTCAGGTTCCAACAAGAAGAATAAGTTCTCGAAGTCTGGTTCGAGAAAATTCAGAGGAGGAGCCGAAGCGAAGTGGTGTGACAAGTGTAAGAAGAAACATGCTGGGAAATGTAGTGAAGAAGTCACTTGTTACAAGTGTGGAAAGCCTAGGCATTATGCCAACGAATGCACCTTTGTTAAGAAAGTCTGTTATGGGTGCAATGAAGAGGGGCACATTTTTAAGGATTGCCCGAAGAAGAAGGATGCAGCAAAGCCCAATCTTCCACCAAAGCCGAAGGCAAGAGCCTTTCAGATGACACTTGAAGTTGCGAAAGAAGAAGCTGATGTCGCTACAGGTACCTTTCTCGTAAACGAATTGTCTGCCCAAATTTTGTTTGATTCTGGAGCCAATTACTCCTTTATTTCGCATGAATTTGGTAGAAAACTAGCTTTGCCTGTTGATAGACTAGTTAATGCTTTAATAGTCGAAGTTGCTAGTGGAAAGTTTATACCTGTTAGCCATCGTATGAAAAACATCTTCATTGACTTGAATGGGAATAAGTTCCACGAGGAATTATTTCCTATCGAGTTAAATGGTTTCGACATCGTTCTAGGAATGGATTGCTTAGCGCCAATGATGCCGAAATATTGTGCAGGAAGAAGATAGTAAAAGTAAAACCGCCAGGGAAAGAGTCGTTTATGGTGTATGGAGACAAATGCAGAGTAAACTCTGGAATCATTTCCCTATTGAAAGCCAGAAAGTGTTTGGCCAAGGGATGTACATCATATCTAGCATTCGTGATCGATGCTAAGAAGGAAAAGAAGGAGGTGCAGAATATTCCGGTGGTGTGTGACTATCCGGAAGTCTTTCCCGAAGATCTTCCTGGATTACCCCCTGATCGACAAGTAGAATTTCGTATTGACTTGTTGCCAGGAACGACGCCAATAGCAAAAGCACCGTATCGACTAGCACCAACAGAGATGAAAGAGCTTATGACACAACTTCAGGAATTATTGGACAAAGGTTTTATTCGACCTAGTTCATCACCCTGGGGAGCTCCGTTGTTATTCATAAAGAAAAAGGACGGGAGCATGAGAATGTGCATCGATTACAGAGAGCTGAATAAGACAACAATAAAGAACAAGTACCCGTTGCCAAGGATTGATGACCTGTTCGATCAATTGCAAGGTTCGAGCTATTTCTCGAAGATCGATCTTAGGTCAGGATATCATCAGCTAAAGGTAAGAGAGCAGGATATTGAGAAGACTGTGTTCAGAACAAGATATGGACACTATGAGTTCTTGGTTATGTCGTTTGGACTAACCAATGCTCCAGCAGCTTTCATGGATTTGATGAACAGGGTTTGTAAACCATACCTCGATAAATCTGTGATAGTGTTCATAGATGATATTTTGATTTATTCAAAAAGCAAGCAGGAGCATGACAAGCATCTGCGTGAAGTGCTAGAAGTTCTGAAAAAGGAGAAGTTATATGCAAAGTTCTCCAAATGTGAATTTTGGATTCAAGAAGTCCAATTTTTGGGTCATGTGGTTAACCAAGAAGGGATAATGGTTGACCCAGCGAAGATTGAAGCTGTGATGAAGTGGGAACAACCGAAAAGTCCTACGGAGATCCGAAGCTTTTTAGGATTAGCTGGATATTATCGAAGATTTATCCAAGGCTTTTCTTCGATCGCTACTCCATTAACAACTTTGACCCACAAATGAGCTACTTATACTTGGAATGAGAAGCATAAGGAAGCTTTTGAGAAGTTAAAGAGGAAATTGTGTGAAGCACCGATTCTTTCTTTGCCTGAAGGAGTTGATGACTTCGCAGTTTATAGCGATGCATCAGGAGTTGGGTTAGGTTGTATTCTGACCCAAAGGGATAAAGTGATAGCGTATACATCAAGGCAATTGAAAGAGCATGAAAAGAACTACCCCACTCATGATCTAGAGTTGGAAGCGGTAATATTCGCCTTAAAGATATGGAGGCACTATCTTTATGGCACTAAATGCAAACTTTTCACTGATCATAAGAGTCTTCAATATCTCTTTAATTAGAAGGAATTGAACATGAGGCAACGACGCTGGCTAGAGTTACTCAAGGACTACGACTGTGAGATACTTTATGTAACGCCCGTGTTTCGAGGCTAAGCATTGATGCGATGATGTAATAGTCTAGGTCAACCATTGTAACCCCTTTTAAAGTAATAAAGATGAATTACCTGAATATTATGTGAATTATGTGCTTTTTGTGCTTATTACTTGATTATAATAAGATAATAAATAAAGGACAAAAATAAGCGTCAAAATTAAAGTGTGAGATAAACCCGATATCTTTACGTAAAGTTGTAGTGGTCGTGACAAGGATTCAGGACATATAAGGAGCGCCGAAATCCGAGTTATAA